ATATATATATATATATTTCAAACTATAACAGCATGAATTAATGTATAACATGAAGAAAATGTCATGCCTTTCAACTATTCTTTTGATCTTTACTGTCTCTTTCATCTTTTTTCATCAGTGACCTGGAGCCTCTGCCAGCTGAGAGGCACCCGTCCCAGCAGAAGGATCCAGAACATCGACTGAAGGAGCTGGGAGCTACTGACGGCAGCACCACTGCCCCACGCAGCGCCGGGGGCTCAATATCAGAGGATGTCTTCACAGAAACGGAGCTGTCCCCCATTCGAGAGGAGGAGCAAGCATCCAACAAGGACCTCCAGCAGGACAAGTCCTCTGATGATTCTACAGAGTCTGTGCAAACCCTTACCCAGGTGGAGGTCACCAGCTCACATGCCCCGGGCAGTGTCCACAGCTCCGTCAGCCAGCTGGAGGAGCCTGCTGCAGCAAAAACAGAGGACAATACAACAGACACTGCCACAGTAAATGATAGCCAGTCATCCCCCACGGGGTCAGATCAGCCCAGTGGAGAGAATCCCCCAAGCACACCCACTAACGCCACCAGCACCAGCAGCACTAGCCAGGCCCAGGAGCCCAACAGCAGCTGCACATCTCGCCCAGGGTCTCTAAGCTCAACCACCGCCTCTGTGTCAGCTGCTCCACAGGAGGATGCCAACCAGGAGACTGATGTCTCTAAAACGGACACTATGCAACAAGACAATGAGGAGAAGGGGAATACAGAGGAAACACAAAAGGACGACTTACAAAACTCTGCAGAGGGTAACCACACTTACTGAGTGATCATGGGTTTGTTTTACCTTGTGCAGGTATAGGACATTGTAGCTAGATAATTATGGCCCTGTTATCTTTTAGCTGCTCTCTGACATCCATTATCCTCTGAAGGCAATCAAAGTGAATTTCTCTGCTCTCTGGTTTCTCTATAACGCTCATGTTGCCTCCTGATAACCTTTCTGTTTCCTATGCACTGTTGGAATACAAAGACGAAGGGAAATGGCATGCTTTTTATTTCTTATCAGTTTTGCAAAGCTTTGCGTGGCTTTATTCAGTTATGTGCAGTTCTTTGATCTCAGGCTGTAGCGGCCGGGTCATTCCTCTGGGTGATGTGCTAAAAGCCATCAAACACCACAATATCACAAATAGACACAGGAGAGAAGCTCGACAAACGATTAGACCCAACATCAAAATACCATCTGAGACCACATTCATAGAGGTTTCATTTGTATTTCACATTTTCATCTGGTGTTGCTTTAATCTGCATTTATACAAATGCAGAGGTCTACATTCATGGAAAAAAAGGGTTTTATGATCTTTGATATTTTTAGTTAAAAGGATTGCAGTGGAGTTCTTAAAAATTAAAACAGCCCTTTTTCCATCTCCGTCTTCTACCACTTATCTGTAGTTGGGTCATGGAGGGAGGCAACAGGTTCAGGAGAGAAACTCAGACACCCCTCTCCCCAACAACACTTTCAAGCTCATTCTGGGAGGCCCTGAGGTGTTCCCAAGCCAGAAGAGATACACCATCCCTCCAGCAACTTTTTTGGTCTTCCCCAGGGCCTCCTACCAGGGGGGTGTATCCAGAAAACTTCTAAAGGGAGGTGTCCAGGAGGCTTCCTAATCAGATGCTCAAACCATCTCAACTGACTCCTTTTGATATCCGAGCTTCCTCTAGATGGTGGAACTCCTCACCTTATCTCTAAGGCTGAGCTCTGCCACCCTGTGAAGAAAGCCCATTTTGGCCATTTGTATTTGCCTTTTAAATTTAAATTAGCCTTTGACCCAGTTTATTCTTCACCATGACTGACCAAAGCAACACCCTCATTACTGAGAACAAGGCCCCAATCTGTTGATCCATCTCCCGCTCCATCCTACCATCACTCGTGAGCAAGACACCCAGATACTTGAATTCCTCCACATGGTGCAAAGTCACCAGCCCAACCCAACCCGGAGGGGGCATTCCACCCAGTTCTGGTTGAGAACCTCAGACTTTGAGGAGCTGACACAGGAAACAGCACTTTCTGTAAATCGAAAATATACAGTATTCTATAAACACAAATACAAGCATATACACTGGTATATACAATTTATATGTCATTATACAGTGGTGCTTGAATGTTTGTGAACTCTTTATAATTTTCTATATTTCTACATAAATATGACTTAAAACATCATCAGATTTTCACACAAGTTCTAAAAGTAGATAAAGAGAACCCAGTTAAACAAATGAGAGAAAAATATTTTACTTGGTCATTTATTTATTGAGGAAAATGATCCAATATTGCATATTTATGAGTGGTAAAAGTATGTGAACCTTTGCTTTCAATACCTGGTGTGACACCCCCCACCCCCACCCCCACTGTACATCAGTAACTACAACTAAATGTTTCTGGTAACTGTTGATCAGTCCTGCACATCAGCTTGGAGGAATTTTATCCATTCCTCCGTACAGAACAGCTTCAACTCTGGATGTTGGTGGTTTCCTCATATTAACTGCTGCTTCAGGTCCTTCCACAACATCTGGATTGGATTAAAGTCAGGACTTTGACTTGGTCATTCCTAAACATGAACTTTATTCTTCTTGAACCATTCTTTGGTACAAAACCACTTGTGTGCTTAGTCATTGTCCTGCTGCATGACCCACCTTCTCTTGAGATTCAGTTCTTGGACAGATGTTCTGACATTTTCCTTTAGAATTCTCTGATATGATTCAGATTTCATTGTTCCATTAATGATACCAAGTCGTCCTGGTCCAGATGCAGCAAAACAGGCCCAAACCATGATACTACCACCACCATGTTCCACAGATGGGATAAGGTTCTTCTGCAGGAATGCAGAGTTTTCCTTTCTCTAAACATAACTCTTTTCATTTAAACCAGAAAGTTTTATTTTGGTCTCATCTGTCCACAAAACATTTTTCCAATAACCTTCTGGCTTGTACACGTGATCTTTATCAAACTGCAGGCGAGCAGCGATGTTCTTTGTGGAGAGGAGTGGCTTCCTCCTTCAACCCTGCCATTGTTGTTCAGTGTTCTCCTGATGGTGGACTCATGAACATTAAATTAGTCAATGTGAGAGAGACCTTCAGTTGTTAGAAGTTACCCTGGGGTCCTTTGTGACCTCACCAACCATGTCTTGCTCTTGGAGTGAACTTTGTTGGTCCACCACTCCTGAGGAGGGTAACAATGGTCCTGACTTTCCTCCATTTGTTACACAATCAGTCTGACTGTGGATTAGTGGAGTCCAAACTCTTTACAGATGTTTTGTAACATTTTCCAGCCTGAAGAGCATCAACAACTCTTTTTCTGAGCTCCTCAGAAATCTCCTTTGTTCCTGTCACGATACACTTAAACATGTAGTGAAGAGCAGACTTTGATAGATCCTGTTCTTTAAATCAAACAGGGTGTCCACCCACACCTGATCATCATCCATTGATTGAAAACACCTGACTCTAATTTCACCTTCGAATTAACTGATAATCCTGGAGGTTCACGTACTTTTACCACTCACAGATATGTTATATTGGATCATTGTCCACACATTTTCTGGTCCTGCTCAGGGTTGGGTTAGGAGTTAGGGAGGTGGATCCTACTTCCAGCAATTTTAGGGCAAGAAATGGAGGAACGTCTTGTAACAGGTTGCTCGTCCATTAACAGAGTTGCAAAGAGATGAGCAATCATTCGTTCTCACACTTAAGGTCCATTTAGAGTAGCCAGTTAACATTAATGTTTTTGGACTGTGGGAGGAAGCCAGAATACCAAGAGAATACTCGCACATTCATGTGGAGAGCATGCAAACTCCACACAGATGGACCCCAACCAGGAGTTGAACCCAGGACCTTCTTGCTGCAAGGCACCAGTAATAACCGGCTGTGTCTCTGTTGAACCCACAAACAGATCAGCTTGTCATTATTTACTGACTGTGGGCTGTCAGTGCTGGAGTTTTGCTGATATAAAGATCCAGGTGATCTTATTCAGCCTCCCGTGACTGTGACTTGATACTAAGCTGCTGATATTCTTTCACAAAAAAAGAAAATTAGTGCTACTTTTAATAAAAAGTAAAATACTAAATGTAATATCTGGTGTCTTTATGCCACATATTGACTAATGTTAATTCAGTTAAAAATAAAAGTAAGTCACAAAAATGATCATGAATGTACACGTTCAGTTAAGGAGATGGTTTAATTTTAGATGACTTCTCGTGTGTGTTTTAGTTTAAAATGATTTAACAAAATATAATTGCTTTCCCACAAAATGTATAGAGTTCTAGTCAGCATTAGATTAGATTAGCTCAAAGTATGTAGTGTTGGATTAGTAGGGATTGGAGGTTTTCTTCAACTCATTTATAACAATGTGTATGTTGTAAATTTGATTTGTACAGAATCCAGATTCATATTGGTTATTCTGTGAGATCTGGCTTCCTGAGCGTTATATTTTCTATATGACTAACAAATAATAAGTCAAACCTCAAAACAACTGCCATGATTGGTTTTTAAATCAAAGCTACATGTTTTGCTTCTGTGAAAGTGTGACTGTGTTTGCTTCAGTCACAGGGTCAGCTGAAAAGAGGAAGCATCGCTCTCACAAGTTCCTGTGTCTGCGAGTGGGGAAACCCATGAAGAAGACTTTTGTTTCCAACGCCAGTGCCTCCATGCAGCAGTACGCCCAGCTGGGCAAGAAAAACGAGTACTGGTTTGCTGTCCCCCAAGAGAGGTCAGTAGCTCTGCCACACCACCCGCAACTCCACAGCAGACTGCATTTGACTACAAATGAAGGGTTGGTGTTGAATTTAATAACAGGTCTTAAAGTCGTGGAGCCCCTTCTGATGCTGTGGTTAGAATATACATAAAGGAATGGATTGAAAGTGAGACCATAATATCTGATGTATTTCTTTCAAACCACAAGACCTGAAGCGCCTCATCTCCAGTCCCTTTCATATTTGAGACCATTTCAACATGAGCGTTTTGTCACGTTCTACTCCCCCTACCTGGTTCTGTCTCAGCTAGACAGCAGGATGATTTATGATTTATTCACTCTGCAGGGTGAGCGTATGCTGCTGTGGTACACACACACACAGAGCCAATGTATGTATCCTTAAAATTGGTTTTACCTGCAAATTTGCTGAAGTGTTTCTGACCTGCATTTAAAATCAGTGCAGTGCTTCACATAAACCATCAGCCTCACTTTGTATGTGTTTTTCTGAGCTGGGTCAGTAGGTCTGGATATACTGCTGCCTCATATTTACATTGACTTCACCCAGCAGAAAGACACAAGTGTGCTTCCAGCATATTAGAATTGGAATTAGGCAAACTGGCATGTATTTTTGTGTCTACAATATTAGGAATGCCTCATAAGTAATGACACTGAAATCCTCCTCCTCTTTATTATCACCTGCTGCCAAAGGCAAAAACACAATATAGTGTGCACACGTGTGTTCATTTGTATGTTACATTAACAAAATATCTTGTGAGTCAGTGGGCAAATAAAACATTCAGAAAGTAATCACTGCCTGTGCATCTACAACTGATTAAATTTTAGTTGATCCCATTCAAGACCACTACGTCTAATCAACCTTAGTCTACACACAGATGTCTGTAACTCTGCTGTGTATTTTACAGATATTAATCTAAATTTGACACGGTGGTAGCTGAGAGTCATTGCTAATACATACGCCAAGCACAAACGCATCTCATGAGCTCTTGCAATATCTCATGAGATGGTGTGTAATATTGTTAATAAAGTTTGACCAAAATACCTATGACTTCATCTTATCATAAGGTGCTCTTAGTTTAAAACTCTGGCATGAAAGGCAACTGATGATATCCATTATTTTCATGGAATGCTAGAGTTCATTTATTTTTGTTGCTGGTTTTTTTTTTAGCTTTTGTTGTTTTTGCTCATGGCTGGCCTAGCCACAACATCTACCTTGAAATAAACAGTTAGCTGCAGCACATGCCACTCTCGGGGATAATAACCTGAGTATATGGCAGATTCAAAGTTGGTATTAAAATGCAGGGCTCTTACGTGTTGCCACTTTTTATTCCTAACCTGTCTCTGCTTTGTGCTGCAAGCAGGCCAAGGTGTGTGGAGGACATGATCATAAATCTTTCACTCTGACAGGACAACCTTAACGGTCTTGTTTATTCAGATGCAGCTGGTCTCTCTTTTGCTTGACCTAGATGGGAGGCGACCTGCAAAGATGTGGCTCTAAGTGTTTTCTTTTTAGTGTTTGAAATAAAAATGATGGGCCACTGTGTGAGCTAAACACAGCTCTGACCTTCAGAACAGCTCAATGTCTGCCTGTAGTCTTTGATGTTTGCCATCCTTAGCGGGACGTGACTCATGTTTTCTGTTTGTGTAAAAGCATGTGCTCATTGTTTGTACTCTGTTTGACTGTTGACATGCTTAACGTAAAGTAACTTCCTCTTTTGGTACATTTTGGGCCTTATTACTAGATCTTTATATCATCTGAGAAGGGAACCAGCCATATTGTGTAAAGGTGTTTTCGCATAGGAAGGAAGAGGTGGGCTCTGAACTACAGGTTTCTCTATAAAGATCTGGAGCTGGTAATGCTTCATGTGACGCTGATTGTTTTGTCCCGCCGTCCTTCAGCTCTTAGCTTACAAACAAGCTGCAGATATTACACTTTACTTCTCGCTGGGTAAATATTTTCATAAGGGTTCAGGCTTTTGTTGAGCCATCAAGCTGTAATTAAAAATGGAGAAATGTTTTGATTTATTTTTCATGTCATTTATTCTTATATAGCTATACAGTAGTCCCTTGTTAATTAGCGGTTTGTTTTTCGCAGACTCGCTCTATCACGGTTTTTCCAAATAAGATTGGACATGACACACAATTGGCTGATTGATGGATGAGCCGCATGATAGGCATGGAATTTTATTTAAAATATTTTTAAATTATTTAGCACCTGCTGCACCTCTGTGCAGACCGCTGCAGGATAAGTAAGCTTCTTCCTGCAGCTGATCAGCTGATCTTTGTGCAGAGAGGGAACGTGGGCGTGGCCAAGAACGCTTGCAGGTGGCTGCATCTTTCTCCCTGCTTTGCTTCCCACCCCCCACCCCCCCCTCCAATGAGAGCTGTGCACACTACTTATGATGGTATCTCAATGAGCTGCAAGTGTTGAGAGACTAGTTTGCAGGTAAATTACAGAAGAATCTGAGAAGTTTCATTTGCAGTCTCACTGAACTCTGAGCGTTTTTGACCAAGTGACCACTGAGCCATGTGGCTACGTTTTTAGCAGCCAACGACATATTTTTTTTGCAAGTCTTGCAAAGTTGCATTCTTGGCTGTGTCCATTATTTTGTTCCCCATCTCAGCTCACTTTGTTCCCACTTTAGTTTACCCACCCACACACACACACACACACACACACACACACACACGTTTATGATTTATTCCTCTGACATACACTTTTGAAATGAAGATTGGAAACTTTGGACTAGTTTTTCAATCTTTACTATTTGTCTTGAGCGTGGTCTTTAGACTTGGACATTTGCTTTGGGTGTTTTCTGTCAGAATGCAGCTCTAGTTCTCTTGAGATGAGTTGAAGACACCTGCATTAGGATGGGTTCTGAATGATTTCAAGACATCTACGATGATTTTCACAACTATTTTGAGAGAAACGTTGTTGCATTAATTTCTGAACGTGTTCAAAACTGAAGTTCAAGGGCTTTGCATCTCTACAGCTCACACAAGGAAGTTGAGAACCCCATGAAAGTCCCGAGACATTCTGTAGAGACTCAAGAGACTCCCTTATAAAACTGTTTACCAGCTAATTGCGGTTCAGTGAGATAGCACTTTTACTTTGTGAAAGGATCCTAAAGGGCCCAGCGTACTATGTACTATGTCTGCACTATCTCCATCCAGGAGTTATTAGCCATTTGACTGATTTAGTGTTTGAAGAGTCGTACAGCTAAATGTCCGAGAGCATTTCCACATTGACAAAACACGCACACAAACTTCTGACCAGTCACGCCATACTTGGCACATATGCCTGTGAGGAAAGGTTTTGCCCTGGTCTTGTATCAAAGGGGCGGGCGAAGCTGCTCTGAGAACAAAATGATGTGATTTTTGTCACACAACTGCAACAATGAGAGCTACACTGCTTTGGATGGAGTACGCAGGGCCGTCGAATGTAAACCTGCTCAGTTTCATCTTAAAACTCAATTTCAGAAAACAGATGATCACTTTGTTTTATCTACCAAGAACCAAATAGTAGTGTTAAACTTAACAACTTCTAGATACCAAAGCAGTGATAGTAGTAATACACTACTTAACTACCAAGTTGTTCTTTCATATAATCATGAACAAGTACTATATAAATTGCAATAATCTTGTCACAGTGTGTAATAATAACAGTCTTTTACGTACCTTGATGTTTTTAAAACTTAGTAACTCGTGAGACTTGATGTGTCTCCTACAGAATTAATGCAGTTTTTTCTTTTTATTTTTAAATGTTTGTTCTGTTTCTTTTTTCCAGATCACACCATCTGTACGTATTTTTTAAGCAGTGGAGCCCAGACATGTACGGCGAGGGGGTCAGAGGAATGGATGAAGAACCAGGGTTCATGGTTGTCAAAAAACACGTGATATCAGAAACATCTGATGATGAGCCCGTCACTGAGCTCAACGTCAAAGAATGGGAGGTAAGGTCTAGGAGAATAAGTTTCCTCACATGCCCTCAAATGTCTTTATACGTGTCGTATCAAACCTCACACATGGATTATGGTCAGTCTATGACTGTCATTTAATCCATAACCTGTGAAAACACACGTTTTGTTCTATAATTTGATTTATTGTTACAGTAAATGATACTGAGTTGATTTGCTTGTACAGTGCATATTGTGTATGTGTTGTGTAGATTTTATTTATACACCATCTGAATAATGTATTTGGCAAGTCACATTTTTGTATTAAGCGTCTGTATTTTGCACCTTTGTTGCACCACTGCATATTTCTTGGTTTAATAGTAAACCTTTGTGTCAATTTTCTGTCCCACTGCAAATTATGTGTAAGGTGTGTCCCACTTGCTTTGCTTGGAAATGTGCTTTTCTGAACTTCCAACCAAAGTGTTTTGCATGTTTGTGTAATTTTTTTAATTCTTCTCAGCCATCATATGGCAGTTTTTCATTATTTGTTGTGTGAGTGTTACTAGTGTTGATCAGCATTTGTCAGATTCATTTTCTGAATGGCAAATGACTAATATCGCTGTGTTCTTGCTTCTTTGATTATAAAATGCTTCCCAAAAAAGTGACATCGATGTGGGTTCTGCCGGTTATTTATTTATTTTTTGTGGATTTACAAATTGCTTAAGTAAGAAAAAGAGGCACAGATGAAGGTTGTCTGCTCATCTAGATATTATACACTTATAGCAGTTTATGCAAAGTGGATGGGCTCTACAGTAGTCAAACAAAACCATTTTGAACCCTGTGATTAATGAAAAAGATGCGTTGGTTGTGGAAAGAAACCGATACGATGGAGAATGTGCTTTAAACTTTAATGTGGATGAATGATGTAGGAAACAAAGTGGACTGATTTGTTTGTCTGTGGGCCTCTACACAACAGAGGCAACATGATCCATGGCATCTGATTAATCAAACGGGAACCTTAATTATGACGTTATTACGTTTTTTAAAAATAATTTTTAAAAGAAACTTGATCATGTCTAATAGGGGAAGCGTTACTTAAATTGGCAGGAAATAAAGTTTCTGGGGAAATTGTGTTACTGCCTCTTTAAATTCTGTCGGCTGTGAGGCGGGATCATTGAGTTCTTTTATCCAATGAGATTCCAGTATCCGTCCCACCTCGTGCTCCCATTGGACGGTGGGGGTGTCACGCAGCGCAGAGACCCTTTCATAAAAAAAGGACTTCTATTTTGGTCCGGCAGTCTCTCGGGTTTTATGCCAGTTGCCAAAACTCCGGGTTTGTTAGTGACGCGCGGAAAACTTAAAGGGTCCGTAATGTGACTTTTACCTTTAAGCTCGTCCATTGAACGGGAAATGTTTTCTAAGAGGGGGAAGGACCAGGAGAAAAGGCAGACCCCTAAGTACACCTGTGTATGTCTGAATATGATGACATATGTTTCTTTATGGACAGTTGTTGTTGCTGTTAGCATGCTATGCTAACTTGCTACCGAAGCGTGTTAGCCGGCTAATTCTTTTACCGCTTTGGTTTAGTTTTGTGTGTTTATGGTTAAATGTGCAGTTATTATCTGTCCACTATATTATTGTCAGTGGTGACAGTGCTCCTGTGTATGCTGGTCGTCTTGGTTAATTAAAAGTTATCAGAGCTACTAGCAACACTTTGAAGTAATATAGTACAAGTTTATTAACATAACTGCATTGCCACACATTTATCAAGTAGGTACACACAGTCCTCGGCTGGTTGAGAGGCTTACACTTGGCTAATTTGAGCTTTTATAGCATTTATGATCAAGTCTGTGTTGCACCAGAGGACCTGACTCAACATATTAAACCTAAATGTTTACAGTTTTTTATTAATCACCCCAGTTCATTGAGAACCATTATTAGTTTTAGCTATCTTTGAAAGCTGTTTTCTAAGTAGTTGTCAAACTGCTTGGGCGAAGTCGTGAGAGCAGCACAAGTATATTTTTTAAGTTTGTTATTGAACCGTGTATGGTCAGCTTAACCAGAAAAGACATGGTTTTATCAAAAGAATGAGCAGAACGTGATCTCGCTGTTAAAATGTAATTTTTATGAATAATTGTTATGAAATGTCTGCATACGTGTGTCTGTATGACTGTTGTGTTTGTCTCGTTCACGTTGATTTTAGTGTCGTATATTAACTTGGTTGAAGACTCAGACGTCGTCATGGAGTATGAAGCAGCCAGGGAGTTGTTTGTTGGAACAAAGCCATGCTCTGTGGTCTGTCTGGACTGTAGCGAAGTGAAGTGATGATGCTCTCAGACAGCTTCCGCAAGTTTTGTTTAATCAAATAGACCTCAGCTGTTGTGTGTTGTTAATGAGCACTCTTCTTACGCTCTCATCAGTTCTCTGTTTGCTGCAGCGTGTTCTCGTCAGCGTTGATTTTAGTGCTTGGGATTTTATGAGTGATGTTCAATACATTACACAAACATGCAAAATGACTATGTGATATTAAATACACGTTCCTTATTCCTTGATCTGATCTCAGCTGTAAACACTGGCCTTCTGCCGGCATTACAGTTTGTTTTATCAAACTCCTAACATTTTCCTTATCGTAAAAAAAAAAAAAAAACAGTGCTGGAATTGCACTGCTTGGTTTACTCTTTCAGAACTCATCCTTTCCTCCCCATGGCCAGAAATAAAAGCGGTCAAGTTTTATGTTGCACTTGTTCCTGTGTTTGTACTGCCAGGTAGTGTCTCTGACGGAGTACCACCGTCGGATTGATGCGCTAAACAGTGAAGATCTGCGCTCGCTCTGCAAACGACTCCAGGTGCCCCGACCAGCTCAGTTTCCCTCTCTCTGCTCAGCACTCCTACTGTCTGCACGGACACGTCTTTAGGATGCCTACTTCAGGCTGCTGCTGCTGCTGCAAACTAACATAATAATTATCTTATTTAAATGAGCATCTAAGAATGAGTAGTTTGTCATCAGATTCATTTAAAGTTGCAAGACCAGCTCAACTAGGAATGACATTTGACTCAGAAAATGTTTTATCATTTTAGCGCAGATATGTTGTCTTGCTTGGAGCAAGGAGATTTCCACGTGATGAGTCTTATCTTCGTGTGTCAGACTTACGTTCTTAGACTTGTTTTACATAAACAACATTTCAGTCCTCTAAATCAGTCTTGACTTGTAGGTAGCACGTGCTAGCTGTTAGTGATGACGTACACAACAGTGTAGGCGGTGTTTAGGGTGCATAAAGATGTTTTTTTCAGTAAGAGGTGTCTCCTATTAATGTGAGAAATGTGGCTTGCATGTGGACTGAGAGTATGGTGAGGTGGTGAGAGGGTGGAGTAAGACTCCCCTTACAAGATGAATGATGTTGTCCAAGGACAATGCAGGTAGGCGCTATTTGAATGAGGACTGAAACATGAGAGCCTCCCAGCCACCAGTGGCAAAGTGCCCCACAATCAGCCTCTGTTATCGAGAAGGATAAATCACCCACAGCAGTCGGTCGGTCAGAGAAAATGTCAAACAGTGAAGTGCAAATTATTCATTGGGTTCATTTCCTATTCACTTTGCGTTCTCATCTCCCAGGCTGCTCTCCGAGTTCTGCCAAACCAATCCTGATCATCTGGCGTTGGAGAGTGGCAGAAATATATTCAGCTGTTCTCATTAGATTGTTGGATCGTCATTTTGTTACTAGTAAACTCTACATCTCTAAATTTGGGCAGGGCAACTAGATTTAAAGTCCCTAAAAAGATCAAACTGTGTTTTGTTTTTAATTTGACTTTCTGTTGCTGAAGTAGGACTATGATTTAAGACTAGTTTCTCATGATCAGACCAGTGCATCTGAACCCGTTATTTATCATCTACCTCAGCTTTAAGTTACATTTTGGTTGTTATAGCTCTAAGCTGATATATTAGTGAGTAATTGTAATGAAAAAAATCAGTTGTGACAGTAGCTACAACTGAACCCATTCAGCATCAGGATGTTAAACTTCTGCTGGTCAATGCATCTGCATCACTAACACTATTTTACTCTTGAAGATTACCACCAAAGAAGAGGTGAACTCCAAGCATGGCCTGTCCATCAAAGCTGAACTGGAGCCTGAGACGTTCAAACCCAATCTCAGAGAAACCAGTGAACTCCTGGAGGTCGAACAGATAGAAAAGGTAATGGCTGCTGCACAAACCTGCTTTGTATAATGCATCCCTAACAAACAAGACACTAGTTAATAACAAATGACAAGACACACTAAATGTTCATCTAGTGCCCCTAAAAGACCAGACGTTTTTATTAGAAAATATTTTGCCAGGTACTGCTTGTTCCTCTTTGCTGTAAAACTCAGTTTTGTTGAAACACCATTGAATTCCATCCATTGTTGAATATTCCCATAATTCAACAAAAATGAACAGGGTAGTTTGTTTATTTTAGGTTATATTTGCATTAAAAAGCATTAAGTTGTTAAATGAATTTAGCTCAATTTCTAGCATTAAAGTTTAATTTGTTTTCAAGAAAAACGAGGAGCACTTTTGGAAACCACTCAGCTGAACTCGCTCATCTGGGTGATTTATTAAACACGCAGAAGCATTGTTAATTGTTTCTGTCCGGTCGGTGCTCAGTTGTCAGAAGGTTGCACGTTTGAAGAAAAACAGGAAAAATCCACTTATAAAATTTATTCCCAACAATCATTTTGTTCATTTACATTTGAGTAATTTTGTAGTTGAGAATCTAGTTTTTAAACTTTTTCTGAAAATGTAATAAAAAGGTATCAAACTTAACATTTGTTTTATCCAGTAGGCTTGAAAACCAACATGCAAATTCAGAGCAGATGCAGGTCATTTTACTGTCAAACATCATGTATGTAAATCAGTCATGGAGTTTACTGTCAGAATAGTTTTTCTTCCGTGTGCTCAGGGAGTACAGCAGGTGTAGTCTCTGCTCTATCGTCTGTATCTACACATTAACTGTTGTTAGACCAGTGGCTCAGTTACTACGTTCAGCAAAAACAATTCCACCAAATGTGTTCTCAGCATGCATTTCACCTGATGCCTCCTCAAAGATGCAGAGAAATATCTGCTGTGATAAACTGCTTTACAGTACTTTAAGTTAAAAACGTGGTAAATGTAATAATAATACTTATATAGCACCTTTCTATCTAATCCAGATACTCACAGCGCTTTACAACCTGTGCCCTCGTTTACCTCCACACAGCACGTTACTACGTCTACACAGATAATCTGAATCTAAAGAGACTAATCTGAGCTTTATCACATTCATACACTGATGGGACACACATCGGAGGCAACGAGGGGTTCAGTGTCTTGCCCAGGGACATTTTAGTATGTGACTGCTGGTGGAATCAAACCCCCAACTCTCCCATTGGAGGACGACTGCTCTAACCACTCAGCCAGCTGTCCAAAAACATGTCAACTTTGTTGTCCCCCGTTGCAGGACAAAGAGTGGGGATTGGAAATACCCACTTTCTGTCCAAAGGAAAGATGACGTGAAGTGTTTCCTACAAACGTTGCAGGTGAACGTACGCTGTCACAAAGATACGAGTGTTCATGGGTCTTACTGAGCGGTAAAGTGCCAGCATGCAGCTTTCCTTCATCCCTCTGAGGACCTGAGGCCAGGCTTGCAGTAGTTCACAGAGCCACGTTGTCCCTCACCTACTTGTAATTTCATTTTTTCCTGCTTCAGCTGAAGCACGTGCTGAGCCAACAAGAAAACAACAAAGCAACTGATGAGTCACTGGAGAGTGAACAAAACAAATGCAGTGTGCTGTAAAAATATGTTGCACTATTTCCATGTATTTCAGCATGTTTTGTGTTAGACAGTTCAAGTTAAGTATGTGCTCTGCAGCTGCTCCGTGCTGGTCTTATCTCCCTCTGAGCCACGGCCTCTGTTAATCCTTCAGTCAGTCTGCAGCGGGGCACGCAGGCTCTCTGAGGAGGTGCTGGACCTCGCTTTCTCTAGAGGCTGATCTCGCTGTTTCAAGCCCCGTTACTGGTCTTTAAACACAAGACGGTGTTAAAATGTCACCGCAGATGTAATTGAGCGTTGGTGGCTGTGACCTTTTAGTGTTTCAGCTTCTTTTTTCTTGAGTCATCCTGCTCCTAATCTTTCATTGTTCCCTCTTCGGCAGCTTGCCAGGCATCTCCCACCACGGACAATCGGGTACCCCTGGGCGCTGGCCTTTGGCACGTCAAAGCATGGCATGAGCATTAAGACGCTGTACAGAGCCATGCAGGGCCAGGACACCCCAGTCCTTCTGGTCATTAAGGACAGTGATGGACAGGTACGTTGAACAGAAACCCACTGCTGTTCACTTGTGAAC